CCGGCTCCCTCAACTGAAGAGTCGGCTCCAGGTGATGGGGAGACGGCTCCCCTTTGTTCAGAGTCGGCTCCAAGGCCTAGGGAGCCGGCTCCATGGTTGTGTGCTTGCTCTCCAATTTTGAGAGCAGGCTCTCTTGTTTTAGTGCATTCTGCAATAATTTGGGCACTGTTTGGAAGATGTTGGTTTCCCGAACTGGTTTGGGATGTGAATGGGGGATCTAAATATTAGTTTCATATGATATTAAAACCTCATATTGCATAATTTATACCTTTATGCTAATGGATTTAACTATATGAAAGTTTAAACAATTTTGCATGCTGTTAACGGATATATGAAATTTAATTGCTTAATTTTAATTTAGCAATTTAATGGGCTGTAGCATGATTTTAAGCCTTGTTTTGGATGTATAATAGGGTCATATATCTATTAGATTTTGTTAAGTTGAATTTGGATTTTAATTGAAGAATTATTAAATTATATTCTGTTAAATTACATGGATGTTGAGTTTAGATTTTAATTGAAGAATTATTAAATTATATTCTGTCAAATTAAATGGATGTTGTTCTGGATTTCAATTGTTGAACTGTTCTATCTGGTTCATCAATTATTGGTTGGATTTGTGAATAAAATAAGCATGTTGGTTCATATAATTTCTATTATGCTTATTAGGAATTAATTGATGTTTACTTACTTTATATGTGTTGTCAATTATATGGACATTGTTGGAGTAGTATCAAATAAGCATGTTAACTTATATATTTTGTTATGTTTATTATGAATCAACTGATGTTTATATTTAATATCTGTATTATCAATTGTTGGACTGATGGATTGTATGTACTGGTATGGGACGGTGGCATACTAGGGACAGATTAATTTCAAAATCCTAAATCCTACATATTCTAGAATAAAGGGAATGGATTATAATAAAATCCGACTTATATTTAAGTCAGATCAGCTGAATAAAATTGAATGTCTAACTGGTTTACTTGTTATTTAAGTCAGATCAGCTGAACAAAGTTAAATGACTAACTTGATTACTAGTTGTTTAAGTCAGATCAGCTGAACAAAGTTGAATGACTAATTGGATTACTTACAGCTTAAGTCAAATCAGCTGAACAAGTTGAATGACTGAATGGATTCCTCATGGATGGTTAGGATATGATTTTACATATATATGAATATGGTACCACGATATGAGCTTGAGTCTCAAGATCGATGGTTAGGGAGCATATATGCATTGGAATGCATAACTGGCTATGATGGTAGAGGTATACCCTGTTAGGTCTAGGTACTCATGCCCACTTCTGGTACATTTTGCATGTTGCATTCTATTCAGGTTGAGACCCCCATTGTAGTCCAGTGAGAGTCCCTTAGTGTGGTTATATATAAGTATGGACTAGATAGTTATTGTTGAGATATCTAGGATGTATCTGCGTATCGGGTCTCTGTTTGGATTGTAGTTAGAGTAGAACTTGTTTGTGGGCCTGACCTACTATTATTTTTCAGGTATCGGACGGTTCCCGTCTTAGAGCTTGTTTGTGCTGAGCAGAGACGGTCACTCATTCCTCCGACTGTGTAGGACTGCTATTTATATTTAGTTTTGGATTTTCTCTTTAGTTCAGTTTATCTTCAATTAGGTTTTGATTAGGGGTCCACTAGATGGATTCCCGAGTTGTATTTGTATTGGAAGTTTGGATGTACCAGAATAGTTCTTATTTATAAAATTTATTCTAAGGATTTCGTTAATGGATTAGCGTTTCAGTTTTCTTTCAGAAATTTTATTTATTCCTTTCTATCATATTTGTATTCTGTGTTCGATTATTGCCATTTGTTTTTGATATCCTCGGGTATTCGGGTGTGGGCCTGGCCAACTCGTATCCGAAAATCCGTGGGATATCACAATTGTATGCACCGATATGGGACGGTGGCATACTAGGGATAGATTAGTTCAAAACACTAAGTCATACCTATTATGGAATAAGGGAGTATATTTTAAAATTTGAATCCTACTTATATTTAAGCCAGATCAACTGAATAAGTTGAATGAATAACTGGATTACTTGTTACTTATAGCTTAAGTCAAATCAGCTGAACAAGCTGAATGACTGATTGGATTTCTGATGGATGGTTAGGATATGATTTATATATATATATGAATATGGTACCACGATATGAGCTTGAGTCTCAGGATCGCTGGTAAGGGAGCATATATACATTGGGATGCATAACTGGCTATGATGGTAGAGGTATACCCTATTAGGTCTAGGTATACATGCCCACCTCTGGTGCGTTTTGTATGTTACCTTCTATTCAGGTTGAGACCCCCTTTGTAGTCTAATGAGAGTCCCCTACTGTGGATATATCTATGTATGGACTAGATAGCTATTGTTGAGAGATATATGATGTATCTGTGTATCGGGTCTCTGTTTGGATTGTAGTTAGAATAGAACTTGTTCGTGGGCCTGACTCACTATTATTGTTTCAGGTATCGGACGGTTCCAGTCTTAGAGTTTGTTTGTGCTGAGTAGAGACGATCATTCATTTTTCTGACGACGTAGGATTTCTTTTCATGGTTTAGCTTTAGATTTTGTTTCAGTTGTTTACCTTTCAGTTTAGGATTTTGATAGGGGTCCACTAGATGGATTCCCGAGTTGTTTTTAATAATGGAGGTTTTGGATTATTGGATATTAATCAGTTAATTTTTGAGGATTATATTTTTTTTAGAATTCTTCCAGCTTTATTATTTTATTTCTTAATTCTCTTTTTGTATTCTGTGTTCATGTAAATATTAATTGTTTGGTATCCCTCGGATCTGTGCTCGGACTTGATCACCCGTGGCTCTAGAATCGAGGTGTATCACAATGGTGGTGGCGACAATGATGTTGGTGGAAGGCAACGGAGGTGGCGATGGTTGAAGGTGGTAGTGGTGAAAGGAAGTGGAAGTCAGTGGTGGTGGTGGCAACGTTGGAGGTGGTGGTGGAAGGCAGTAGAGGCAGTGATGGTATGGTGGTTGAAGGTGGCAACAATGGTGGCGATGGTAGTGACCGTGGTGGAAGGCAATGGAGGTGGCGGTGGCTATGATGGAAAGTGGTGGTGTCAATAGTGGAAGATAATAGTGGTTTCTGGACTTGGAACATGAGAGTTTTAGGAACTTGATTTTTTTTAAAATTTTTTTGCTTGGGAATGGAATGGCTATTTCATGGATTTAGTTGTAGAATGGTTTTTCATTACTAGGAATTGATTTTCATTACAATGGAATGTTCATTCTAATTTTAAATTACATACCAAACAAAGAAATAATTGGAATATTTCTGTAACAAGGGGCTTGAAAGCTCCCATCCAACCTTATGGATAGTGTGGCTTCAAGCTCCCATCCAACCTTATGGATAGTGTGGTTTGGAAGGCCAAAAAATGGATTTAAGATTATTTATATAAGGGAGCTTTTTCCATTCCCTATCTGTCTATGAATTGCCTTAGCGAAAAGGTAAGATATTTAAATCTCCTATCACTGCACTACAGAACTCTTAGCGGATGAAATGTAATATTTCATTCTATTTCTGTACACCAAACACATAATCATATAAAATTCTAATAATCATGTATGCGTATGGATACAATGGGTGCTTAACATTTTTCCTATGTATATCAAATATTTGAATCCACTAATCTTGTACGTTGGACCATATGTATGCCATCACATAGGGTTAGTTCATTTAAATCCTAATCACATACTAACAACATAGTTTAAGTGACCTCACACACCAAAATGCAATGTTAAGGTGACGACTCCGTTCTTTGGGTTTAGGTTTAGGTAGAAAATAACTTCATAAATTTCATAGTTTTGAGAAAGGGTCATCATCTAGAGGAAAGAATAAGAAAGTTAAGAAAAAGGACGATGAAGACTCTAAGGAAACAACTAAAATTACAAATTGGTTTGATCCTCTATTTATAGGTGACTGTTAGGCTTTAAATGAGGTTAGACCCGTACACAATCTCCTCTCCACGAGTGCACCACGAACTGGCCTTCAAATCGGAAATTCGCAACTTTCAGGCACGCATCCGATCAATTGGAGTAAGTGTCCGATCTATCACATTCCGAACATGATGTGCAGGGTGATTTAATTTGTGGTATGTGTTGTTATAATTTATTTATTTATTTTTACATGTTTAGCCATCAAATCATGTTATTTAATGTTCTTAGAATGAATTGGACTGTTTGTACACGATTTAGAACTGAAAAGAAGCAAGAACAGAGCCTGAAAACTGCTGTCGCGAGGAAGAGGCCAACCCAGGCCAACCCAACTGACTAGATTGGAAATCCAGCCGACTTGGTTAGGGAATCAGCCGACTGAGAATAAACAAATAATCAAATAATCAGCCGACATGGGTTATTTGTAAAGGAGAATGAGATAATCAAATAATCAGTTGTTATATGATATTTAACAAACACATACTTGTTGTATTTGGTATACAAATCTTGTTTCCAGTCAAATTATTCAAGCTTATACTTTGCATGTGTAGCCTATAATGCCTATTGTATGATTTACTGTGGATTTTATTCTTGTAATGGATTGGGATTATAAAACCGCGTGGAGAATGAGAATTATTCCTACTTTTCTTTAAAGGCTTAAACTTTTTTTTTTTTTCATTAACCGCATTCATGAAATCTAATTGACTAAGAAATGTTTCATTGGACTAAATTTAAGTGCCAGTGGCAGCTTTTGGGGACTTGAAATGGGCTTCCAAGCCCAATAAAGTCTTCCTAAAAAAGTGATAGTGTTTGGTGAAATAAAAGAAAATGAATTCTAACTAACCTAAAAGTCTTGTGAAGTCCATTTAATTTTAATTTTTATTTTTGGCCCAGTCCCTAGCCCTATGACCGAACTGTTTTTTTTTTTTTGGGAAAGTAAGATGATTTTATATAAAACGATGCAGTATTTACATAGGTAAAGAGTGGCTATCCCACAAACCGTGGACAGCCCACTCACAAAACATTCAACAATCCACATTCTAACAAGCCCAGTATAGCAAACAAAGACAAATAAACGGACGACTATTCTTGTCTGAGGCATACACGCATCCGTGTAGAACAAGAGGGGGTCTCTACCTGGCTAAGGATGAACGCTGGCGGCTTTCCCGTCGCTAGATCCCACTAAGTACGCCGAACAGGAGGTACGCCCCTATCCCGTGTGACTTCCACCCGAAGCAATTTTAGATTTAGGGTTCTGTTCTACTCCAATTAGAACCTTTTTTTGTGCATATTTATAATCTGATTCTCATCTCATCGAACGAGTTTGGTACTTTGGTTTGACAAATTCTTTTTTGCAGCTTATATTTAATTCCTATCTAAACTAAATGGGCAAAGTGGCACGATCTACCTCAAAATTTGGGCTACGGAAGGTGAATCCGCTAATCTCTAATGTTAGAATGAACAATTTGGTTTATATTTCGAAAAAAAGTTTTCTTTTTTAAATTTATTTATTGTTGATATATATCATTATTCACTTTTAAGTGTAGAGAAACTTTGGATTATGGTAACATTGTTCCTTTTCTAGTTTGAATGCTTCAGTGTTTGATTATTATTATCATTTTTTTAAATTCGATATATATAGTTATTCAGTTTTAAGTGTAGAGAAACTTCGGATTATGGTGACATTGTTCCTTTCCTGGTTTGAATGCTTCGGTGTTTGATTATTATTATCAACTATTTTATTTTTTGGGTACGAAACAGTGTACACATAAGCAAGATTGGATTAGTTTGCTGCCGGATGAGATTCTTGTTGCGATTCTGTCTCGGGTGACACTCAAGGAAGCAGCAACTACTAGCATCCTCTGTCGGAGATGGAGATATCTTTGGACATACACTACTGGTAGTTTGAATTTTGATGCTTCCAAAACGTTATACGAATTGGGACAACGATGGAAGTCACGTTCAGTCGAGATGTTTAATTATGTTAACTGGGTGAATCAAGTCTTGAAATTGCATCAAGGTTCATCTGTAGATGAATTTAGAATTTGTTTTGATTTGGATGAAAATTATTTTAGTGAAGTTGACAGGTGGGTCAATTTTGCCATTGAAAAAGGTGTTCAAAGGTTTGAGTTGGATTTGTCAAATTGCTTCCAATTCACCATGGTTTCTGATCCCAATTACAATTTTTTAAGTTCGGACAAGTTCTCCTTACCATTTAGTTCAAATACTCTAAATCATTTGCATTCAAATAGGCAAATAGCGAGGCCTCATGGTTTTGCTGGCTTAACATCCCTTTCCTTGAAACAAGTTGATGTGACTCAAGAGGTTCTTGAGTACTTTTTATCCAACTGTCTTTTACTTGAAAGTTTATCGGTGGATGTCTCGAACTGTTTGGTGAGTCTGAAAGTTGCTGGTCCATCACTCAATTTGAAGTACTTGCGGATATCCGGTTGCCGTTTTTTGGAAAATTTGGAGATTTCTGCAATAAATCTTGTCTCTTTCACATACTTTGGACCAAAGATAAGCGTGCCTCTTAACGATGTTCCCCTTCTTTCTGAGCTATCTATTGGGTTTGAATACGCTGTGTATTTTATTAAAGAACCTCACCAGCATTTGCATTATTTCTCTCAACTAGAGACTCTTAAATTGGATCTTTATTTTCTTCGTGGTGAGGTATGTAAAACCACAATGTATGCATTTGCTTCCTTTTGTCTCTTTATTGGATTAATACATACTGAATTGATCATCAATGTCTCTTGTCTTTACTCTGCATAGTTATTTATACAATTCCCGGGCGAATTTCCTGAATTGAGAAATCTCAAGAATTTGGAATTGATGGTTCAATCATGGAGTCACATTGATCTCAGTCATTTTACTTCCTTGATAAAGGCATCTCCTTTCTTGTCTAGATTCAAAATCCAGGTAACTATTCAGATTTTGTTGCTTACGATTTAAAATTTGTGGGCATTGTTGATTGTATCGTGTTCAGAAATTAACGAATAAGTTCATATATGGAGCTCCTTCTTTTTACTAATGATTAAAGGAGACCAGCCATACAGGCATAATTTTTTACCATATAATTGCTCTCGTGCTATTTGGGAAAAGTCTTATCTATTCGGTATGCTTCATGCTCAAGATTGTGGGGTTGTGTTAAGAAGTCCAATTCTAACTGTCATCATGATTTTCTATTCCATACAATGTTTAATGGATAGATTATATAGATTGTCAACACTAGGCTATATCCAAGGAGTAATCAGCTAAATAATGAAAAAATTTAAAGATTGCTCAGATAAATTCTGCACTTTTTATTTTTATTTTTTAGTGTTCGGCATTCAGTGATAATCACTTAAAATTTCACTTCATTTTCAGTGGTATTTATTTTTTAAGTTATACTCAAATTGCTTATTGAACACACTTAATTGAATAATGTTGAATTAGGTTATCAAATGGCACCTAAGAAATACAAGTGGAGAAATAAAACAATGTATGGAAATCCATAAAAATTATAATAGCTAGAAGTTACCATTTATGTCCATCTTTCCTCTTCATAATTTTCTAATGTCCATAAAAAGAACTACTCAGCTCTCTTATCACTTGAACAGTGAACATAACTGTTTATAAGAAATTTGAAAACTACTTTTCAAGATCCATTTGACAATTTACTAATTTATCATTCTGGAATTAACTAAGATTTGGAATGCAAGTTGTCCTCAATCATTACGCTAAGATTTAGAAAGAAAGATGTCATCATTAAGTAGAAAGTGGTCTAAATTCTTAAGCTATTGTGCTTTTCGAGTGTTGTGGTATTGTTAGGATTGTTATATCATTCCCAGGTCTAGGTTCTGCTGTTGTTCGCAGTCAAAATAGTAGCCATGTTAGTTTGATGACTTATTTCCTTTGCCCACTGAATCCATACTACATCTGTTTCTCACTTGGTTTCTTTTTTCTAGGTTAACTACTATTTAATACAAACTTCAGCTACTAGTTCTTAGTTTTCCATATATCGTTTTATTTCTCCAGAGAGTGTGAGACGAAGAATAATATTTGTTATTAGTTATATGAAGGTCAGTGCCTAGTGTGGTGATAAAATGTTAAGGCTATGAAGCGTGAGAATGCGAGTCGAAATTTTGAGTATGAATACTTTTTGCAAATAATGCCAAAGGAAAAGGTTAAGGTGTTATTTAATAATTCAAGTCCATAATTAATTTTGAATCGACCAAACACTTATTCAATTAAGTAGGTTTGATAAGGCAATATATTACCGCTTAAAAGAGTAGGTGCCACTTAAAAACCAGATAAGATTTTAAGTGAAGGAGACTTCACTTATCATAGAATAATAAACATTAAAATTCAAAAAAAGTAAAAAGTTCTCTGTTCTCAGTATACGGTTAATGCTTAAAATGTCAGAACTTAAGATTCTGCTCTAAAACTTTTCAGTACTGGACTTTTTCAGTTATATCATACAACACCTCAGTCTATATTTGATTTACCTCTCCTAGCACCCTCGGTTAATGGCAACCACACTATGTATCCTTTAATTATATGAAGGCAAAGCTCTCCTAGCACCCTCTGTTAACAGCAACCACACTAAGTATCCTTTAATTATATGAATGCAAAGTTTATATACAAGACTGCACTGCACATAATAGAATTCATGAGATAGCATTAGCTGCATTACATATATTCAACACCCTCTAAAATCCATGGTGGATAATAACCTAAGAGTTGGTCTCATTTTTGTGAAGTGCCAACTGCCAAAGCATATTGGACTTCGTGGAACTGTCAGCTAACTAAACTGTAGAAGAGAGATGAGGTAGCTAGTGAGGTTGTCTGAGTAAAAATTAATATCAAAATGATTAGTTTTTTAATGGAAAACCAGATTACTGGGTATTTAATTATTATTCTGGTTATCGAAGTAATAAGGAAGGGGTTAGGCTAATCTGCCAAATCGTTAAGAAGAGAAATCTAAACAATCTTTATATCAGTATTTGCCATAGCACCATAATGTGCTTCGAAACTGTAGTGAGATATGGTGTTTGCTTCTTGCTTTTCCAAGATATAAGAGAATTCACTAAAAGAACACAGAAACAGAAGTAGAATCCTCACAACTAGCGGTACTAGCATCCCCAGCCCAGTTGGCATTATAAAATCACAATGCTGTAGCAATGATGAAGATGAAAGAAGCAATGCATGAGAGAGAGTGCTGTGAAGGTAATGATCGGTATGAACAATATCTGCATGGTGGACATATTGGTAGGTAGAGCAGCAAATTGGTTAACAACATGCATAAGATAAGCAATACCGCATTAGCAAAACTGTGAGATAGACAAGACCACCCCCAAGGTAACCATGCAGGTGAGTAACCGAGCAGATTGCAAGTGCTTCTTTACAAACTTAATATAACATTGAATCATATCCTCAACATGCAAAAGCCATATACCAAAGTAAATTGATTTCCTAAGGGGAACAGTTTTTACTAAGTTTCTAATTCAATAATAAGACCATATATTGCATGACAAAGACAACAGATTACTGGGGCGAATAGGAGAGACCAGGAGGAGGTTGCATGTATACCTTATCATGTAATTCACAGTGAAGAAATTAATTTCTTAGATCATGCCAAGATGGATGATAGGAATATCTAGAAGAGACAAAAATTCAATAAGCATGTTGGAGAGAAGTTAGGAGTGTCTCCTATTAGTGATAAAATAAGAAAGCTCTTCAATGAGGCTTCACAATAACATTGCAGCTCCTGATGTGACTGGTAACTTGAAGAAAATGAGTAAGTAGTAGTCAATGTAAGTTCTTTGCCATTCTAAGAATCCCTTGAGGGGCTAAAACTTTAGTGAGGCTCATCTTGACATTACTTCAATTCCTATGAATATATCGGGTGACTTGAGGTTGAGGAATCAAAGAAGATTCTATCGGGGGTAGTGACAGTATGGTTGAGTCTCAATAGGAGGAGGAGCAATATCAACAAAACGGAGATGTTGGTTGTCCAAAGTGGGATAGACAAAGGAGACGGGAAAGCGTAATAGAAATGATACTGAAAAAAGGAAACATGATACGAAACACAACATTTAGACACGGGATTGTTACATGGCAGGCCTTATGTTCCAACTATAACCTACAACTACACATTACTAAATGCCAAAGTTAATTAGGTTCGTTGGAAAGTACAAAGACACACATGCTTCCAGTAACCCACCGGTGAGGATAAGATTGGGGTTTAGAATAAAGGGGATTGAAGGGAGAAATGACTCAAAGCATATCAGAAGGCATGCACTTGGTGGGATATGTAACAGTAAGAATAGCTTTTGAACTTGTGTCGGAACAAATGCTTAGTGAATAGCCTTCAAAATATTGTAGGAACAGGTGCTGATAGAAAATAATGTGATGATGTTGCTCTTGTGCAGTGCAGCTATACCATTCTGTTGTTGTATACCAGGACGAGATAGATGAGGCAAAGTTTAATTGGTTGTGAATAACATGAAATGAATGGTAAGATACTCTTAATTTTCAGTTACTTGGAAAACTGAGTTTGAACCATAGAGGTGAAATCTTTATAAATCTTCAAAGTTGAGACACACTGTGCATGGAATATATCCAAGTATAGCACGAGAAATCATTAACAAACATAACATTTACCTGTTACCTAACTTACCTCACTTGGAAGGAATTGTAGCAAGTTCCACACATCAGAATGCACCAAATCAAATATGGAAGTAGTAAGTGTCAGTGTTACTAAATGAAAAAGGGAAAGGCAGTTGTTTTCTGCAAGCTTACATCCCACACAACTGGTTGAAGTTGACATAGATGCCCTCACAACTCACAAGGCACTGGTTTTTCTTAATATTTAAGCTTAGAACTCAAACCATGGTGTGCCATAGCAAAATGCCGGAAGGTGCAGTATACAGAGAAAGAGAGAGAGGATGGTTTGTCCACACAGTGATGGCCAATAGCTGTACTGGTTAGGAAATTGAACGTAAATGCTGGGAGAAGGGGACTACCGTAGAATAGATATGATAGTATGTGGTGTTTAACTTAGGTTATGAGTGTAGTGCAGGATGAGAAAATTGATTAATATACCTGACCTAAATAATGCATGAGCATTAACTAACCAATTATTATTGTAAGTGTGCAATAATAAAATGATGATACTCATAAAATTTGAAGATATATACATTAATATTACCAACGGGCTAGTATTAGGCCCTTACTTCCCAAAGGGAGGTCAGGGGTTCAAGCCTCAGTGGATGCATGTGTGTGTAATCAAGCACTAGATGTTTAATATTACATTAGTATTCGTAATCAAGCACTAGATGTTTTTAATGCAAGTGTTGATCAATAAGCTCATATATTCTGCCAAAGACCTGACAAGAGATCATATGTTGTATCAATTGATTCATATTTAATATATAGACCATATTTAGCATTGATAACAACAAAAAAGAGAAATATATTAATGATTAAAAAGAAATGCACGCTTTTTGTGATCTTTGAGTCTACTAGAAATGCCTCCTTAAGGGCATTATTGGTGCCCGATCAAGGAGTCTCCTTTGTTGTAGGTTGAAGTATTCCAGTTGAGTCTCTTTGAGTTTGGAACTTTTTGGGGTCTACATGCACCTTTAACAAGTATTTACAGCATACGAAGGCCAAAGTAGATAAAAAAGGGATGTAAGAGAGGTAAGCAAACCAAATGACATTCTAGAACAAGCAGCCAGGTGGACTGCATAGTAAGCTGAGTCATTGGGGTGATGCTCCAGTTCAAATTTAGATGGCTAACAGAAAGACTTTAAGTTGAAAACTCTTGAGTTGATTCTCTAGTTCAAATTTGTAAGGCTAAAGATGGTTGGATAGTGAAGCAATTTATAAAAAATAACTTCCCGCTACCATTCGCAACCGCTGACAATCCTGGTAACCAATGAATGATTCGGGTGTAGATCTGAACTCTGCACAGTAAGGTACACCTAAGCCCTGAAGTATATTTCAAGGCAAAACCTTAATACCATTTTAACGGTGTGAGAATAATTTAGAGGTTTCCATTGAATAAAGTCAAAGCCTAGATATGCATAAAATGCGACTGTGTAGCTGTGCAAGAACCAATACACTGATTGTTTATTTGATATAGGTCCACACTTAAATTGAGTAGCTGTGCGAGGTTTATTGCTGTGATTTCTGATATGTTTTTTACTTATCAAATAACAGTAATATCTTGTATATTCGCTAATGGATTTAAACTTATCATATCTGTGTGCATGCAATCGTGCATATTTGATTTGGAGGTTCTGGGGCCTTTTAACTTCATACCTTATTTTTTTTTTTCAATTTTTAACACTAGCAAATTTGTGCGCAAGTTATCTTCTTATTTTATAAACAAGCATTGACATTTATTTATTTATGTTTTTTTTAAACCCAACAGTTGCTATCTGAAGAGTCCCGTGCACAGAGGAAGGTACGGTGGAAGGCAACATATATAACAGTTTTTTTTTCCCCTCAATTTATATACTAACAAGCAAAATATTATTATTATTTGTTTATGTGGCAGGCAATGCGAAAATACCGTTGTTTTGATAGATTAGAACGTGAAGCTACAAATTGTCATCAATGCCTTAAAGTGGTGGAGTTGGTAGGGTTTATTGGGCATGGAAGTGATGCTGAACTTGCTTCTCATTTGATTGAGATTGCCGTGTCACTTGAGAAGATGACTATCAATTCTTGCAGTCCATATGTATTGGGGTCCCCTGGGGAGTTTGAGGATAATAAAGTGAGAAGGGCAGCTAGAAAGCGTGCCGAGAAGCTAAGAACAAAATTACCTCTGGGGGCTAAACTGGAGATAATTTAATTTAAAATGTTAATGATATAGTTAATGATGCTAATGTTACTGTTCTGTTAATTAGTATAGGCAAATACTATGCAATGGTTAATTTAAGTGTTGATAATATAATTAGTGATGTTGATGTTCTGTTGATTAGCGCATTCCTCTCTTGTCAAGAGGCCCGAGCTTGGTTTTCTCAGTTTTATTTTAGGCCCAGTCCGTTGACCAATCATTAAGCTGGACTGTTTGTGCATATTCAGCGACGGTTCACTCAAATCAGTTCAAATCCAGGATACAAATGAATAAACAAACTTCTTTGCTGCGATTATTTTATTTTATTTTATTATTTGAGAATTCGACCACATTCTGTTTAAAGCTTTTTGTTGATAAGTTGAGTGCAATCTGTTTAAAGATATTTGTGTTAGCTTGAACAAGCACAGTTTGGCAGTGCAAAGATGAGCCAAATGGTACATGTTCTTGTCTCGTTCATGTTCTCGTATGGGCATATGGTCTGGGTGCTCATGGTCTTTTTGTTTGGGCACTGTCACAATATGTGCTGCTAACTTGCTAAGTAGAAAAAAGTACGACACAATGACCTTATAGGCTTATATTGAGTGATTATCATAAAACTTTAATTCAGTTTAAATTTTTATGAGTTACTACGAAATAATTTAGAAGATTAAATTATGCCATAATGATTATTTATCATGTATGCTAATATTAGTTATTAGGTCATTATAATAATCTATTTATAGAATCAAAGAACCTTTGGCACAATGGTATAATTTCTCCGTCAACAAAAAATAGAAAAAATTAGTATAACTCCCTGTCCTCAAAGAATTAAAAAATGGTTGAGTTCAGGTGTGGGCAAAAGGAAAAAAAATAAATCTTACAATACTTGGGTCCTCTTCAACGGGGAACAAGCTTCGTCCTCTTTGGTGGTTCGGTCAAGACTCACACATGTTTTAAATTAAAAATAATAATAATTAGATTAGTTAGAAGCGGTTTATTTATTTATTTATTTTCAGCGGGGCAATTGGCCTCCCTCTCCTTCCTATGTAAGTGTGGTTGCAACTTGGGCGAGCTAATCCAGCCCAACCCAAGCCCAATTCGAAATTTTGAAATTTGGGCTTGAAGTTTACAAATCGAGTTTATGTTCGGGTTAAATTTTGTCAAAACCAAGACATTCAGGTTGGGCTCAGGCTCAACCTGAACCCAACCAAAAACCCAAAATAAATTTTTTTTTTTTTTTCGTCCTCTCTCTTCCTTCTTTTTCCTTCTCTCTCTTTCTTCTTTCTCTTTCTCTCCCTGCCGTCCCCATTTGTGAAGAAGGGGAGCATGAAGTAAACTAAAAGATATGGGTTGAGAGTTAAGAGACTGCGGCTGAAGCTTGCGAACGGTGAACTCGAACTGGAACAGCGGGCGATGGAAACTGAAAGATCTGGGTTTTGATTTTTTGAACAATTTGAAATGATATGCCGATTTGGGTTTTGAGCTTTTAATTCTTGCAGACAGATAGATAAAACTGAAATATATGGGTTTTGAAGTTTTGATTCTTGTAGATTTTGTAATTTGCAGTTGCAGACAGAGAGAGAGGGGGCAAGTTCAGAGAGAATAGAGATGGAGGCGATTGGGGAGGCTAAAATGATTTGCCCTAAAAATAATAAAATATATATTATATATATATATATAATTTGTTTTTTTAATAATAATATATATATATAAAATTTTGAAAAAAAAAATAAAAAAAAACTCAACCCGTCAACCCGACCCAACCTGTCCGAAAATATTCGGGCTGGGTTATGACCATAACCCATGTTGAGTATAATTCAGGCTGGCTCAACCCAACCCAATTCGGGTTGAGATTGGGTTAGAACTGGGCTGGGTTGGGCCAGCCCAACTTGCAGCCCTATATGTAAGTCCGTTTCTGTGGGTATAAACTTGAAATTCTCTCCTTGTTTTGTTAAGATGCTAAGCTTAGAGCTTAACAACTGAAAATATTGAAATATTTTCATGATAAAATTAATAATTTTAGGTGAAAAATCTTATATTATGTCAAATTATTAGGACCCCGTTTGGGGGAGCTTTCTCATATTAAAAGTTCTTCATTGATAAGGCCTTCGTGAAAGGAATTCATAAGAAAAAGACATTTGACGAACACATTTCTCAAATTTACTTTAACTTTTAGATTTTTTTTTATTGACAATAATATTTTTTATCCTTAATAATTATTGTAAGCCTCCAATAAATGGGCGAATGCGGCAGTGGTGACAGGCTATGTCAATGCTAGTGGTGGTGGCAAAAGGCAATTGTGATAGTGGTGGTGGTGGGGGAAGGCGACGATTAAGGGTGGTGGCGGTAGAATGTGACGATGTCGGCAGTGGTGGCAGTGGTGAAAGTGAGGTAGTGGTGGAAGATGGCGATGACGGTGGTGGTGGTGGTATTAGAAGGTCACATTGGCCGCGATGGTGAAGGTGGCGATGGTAGAAGATGGTGGTCGTTGGTAGTGGAGAGTGATGGTGGCGATAGCAATGGTGGTGGAAGGTCACAGTGGCAATGTTGGAAGGTGGTGGTGGTGGTGACGACGGAAGATGGTGATGGAAAGTGGTGTTGATTGGTGGCAATGGTGGAAGGTGGCGGTGGTGGTGGTGGTGACGACGGAAGATGGTGATGGAAGGTGGTGTTGATTGGTGGCAATGGTGGAAGGTGGCGGTGGCGATGGTGGAAGGTGGCAGAGGGTCACGGTGGCGGTGGTGGTGGCAAAAAGTGGTGATGAAAAATGGTGGTGGTTGATGGCGGTGATGGTGGAGGATGATGGTGAAAGATGACGGTGGCAGTGGTGGTGGTGGTGGAAGGTTACGGTGGCAGTGGTGGCAGAAGGTGATAGTGGAAGGTGGCATCGACAATGGTGGTGCAAGTGGAAGGTCATGGTGGTGGTGGTGGTAGCGGCGACAGGTGGTGATGAAAGGTGGTGGTGGAGGGTGATGGCAGCCATAATAATGGCGGTGGTTAGGGGTGTTCAAAAAATTCGGTAAACCAAAAATCGGACTGGACCGGATTGAATTGGAAGGCTTGTGCTCGTTGTATCGCGGTTTGGTTTTGTCCTAGGCCCAAAATTATGGAACCGTAATTTTTTGGTTCGGTCCTAGTTTAGGGTCCTGTATATATATGTTATATAATATATATATATGTAGATCATACCCTAAACCTAAATCAAGAAAAGTTCTCACGTCTCACATGCCCCCCCTTTTTCTTTCTTTTGTTCTTTAAATTCCTTTTAAAAAAAGTCAAATTTCCTTTTTCAAATATATCTCAGTTTTTTTTTTTTTTTTTTTTTTTTTTTTTTTAAAAACTATGCCCCCTCTGAATTAAAATAAAATAAAAAGGAAATCAATTGAAACCGTCAAATCGAACTGAACTAAATCGATTTTTCACAGTTTGGTTTGGTTTGGTTCTATGGGCATTATGGTTCGGTCTGGTTCAAAAATAGTGAAATCGTCTTAAATGATTTGGTCCCAAAAATTCGGTCCAAACTGGATCGTGTGCACCCTTAGTGGTGGTGGTGGAAGGTCACGATGGCGGTGGCGGAAGGTGGTGGTGGTGGAACGAAGGACTAAGAAAGAATATAGGACAATCTTGTCAATCTATGAAAATACATTAAATTAGTAAAATAATAAATTTATTCTTAAAAAATTTGGCTTCTTAAAAGAAGGTTTCAAAAGTAACATTTTCTTACTTCTTTGAAATGGATTTTTTGATCATTGGTCTTTCAAGAAAGTCCTTTACATATGTGTAACTAAACATCACTAATTTTTTCAAATGGACTTTTTAAACTTGGAAGGACTTTTTGAGGCTCCAGAAAGCTCCCCCAAACAGGGCATAGGTCTGACTATTTATTTTAAAAAGGGTAAAGTGCATTAAACCCCCCTAAACTATACCTCAATGAGCAAAAACCCCCTCTGAATTACAAAATGAGCAAAAAACCCCCTTAAACTATTCAATTTGGTTGCACTTTACCCAATCCGGCAACCGACAGATCAATTTTCTTCCATGTGAGAGGCCAAATTTATGTAAATGACTATACAACCCATATCAAATTTAAAAGATTATACTGCCTATGAAACATCGTTGGCCCCAAAAAATCCCTAACTAATTCATTCATCATCTTCTTCCTCCATCGATCTGTGGTGCTCCTCCTTCAATATCAGTGTGTATTGCATCAATCTCTTCCCCTCTTTCCAAATCATTGTGCATCGCATCGATCTCTTCCTTCATTATCACAGTGTATAACAAGTTTGTATCTATCATTCCTTTAATTTTGGCAAGGGTCTGTCTCTGTATGTATCACTGTGTGTGCGTTCTCTTGAAGTTCACACACACACACACACACACACACACACAACACATATGATATATATATATATATATACACACAACACATATGATGCTCGTGACTGGTCTTTTGGTATGAGAACTGAAACGATCCGAGGTATAATTTGAAGCTTTTGTACCCAAATGTTAGCTTAGTATACAATGAGTAAAAATAAAATAAAATAAAATAAAAAATCAAAATAAAAATAATTCAAAAAATCAAAACCCATTTACAGAATAAGAAGCTTGGATTCATCCTTGCTGGCTACTCCCCTCCATCGCCATATTTCTTCCTCACGGCCGAGCCCTTGCCGGTTCGTCACCACCGCTACACCACCACCGTCCATCATAACCAACATCATCCAAAGCCGAAACTGCTGAGGCTATCTTCATCCTCTCCACCTTCCGAAGCCTCCTTGCTTGCCGTTTGGCCGCCATTCAATCTTGCCAAGCTCGCCGCTGCGAGTCATTCACGGCCAAGTTAGCCGAGCCCTCCACCGACTGAGCCACTACTGTCTCTGCCATTCAGTCCACCTGCCTCGCCATCACAGCCATCTCGTCTCCACCTCGCCGTCACAGCGAGCCCGTGCGATGGCCCTGGTTTTACAAGCGAGTGCATCCTGTAATGACCTGATGGTTGATCTGAAAACTGATCCCGAATGCTGAAGCGAAAACACAAGCAGGGTCTCTAGGGATGTACATCGTCCTTAAGACACCTAAGCTACCTTCCATGAGGCCACGAAACTCAACGAGAACGAAAACGGAAACAAGGGTTG